TTGAGCTATAGGCGCCGAGCCATCTTCTTTTTTTAATGGAGCAGGGTCTCCGTATGTTCCAGGCCGGTTTCTAATTCCTGGGCTCAAACAATCCTCCTGCCTCAGCCTCCTGAGTAGCTGGGACTACAGATAAATGTTAATTAATTTAAAAAGTAAATTTAGGAAGGCACATGTGGCTAGTGGCTACCATGTTGGACAGCAAAAGTTCTAGCCAGAGCTTTTTGACCTTTGTTCCTTCCATTTATAATAACAGTTAGTAGGATTAACTTACCATTCACTGAGCACTTGTTCTTTGCCAACTTTTGTGTAAGTACTTTACAGTCACATCTCAATGACTGAGAAATTCCTTTTTTTTAATTGTTTGAGACAGAATCTTGCTATGTTGCCCAGGCTGGTCTCGAACTCCTGGGCTCAAAGCAGTTCTCTCACTTCAGCCTCCTGAGTAGCTGGAATCCTTAGAGTAGAGTAGCTCATACTTAGAATCCCAGCGCTTTGGGAGACTGAGGCGGGAGGATCGCTTGAGGCCAGGAGTTTGAAACCAGATAAGAGCATGAGAAAACCCCGTCTTTTCAAACAATTTGAAAATTAGCCAAGTATAGTGGTCTCAGGTACTCTGAAGGCTGAAGCAGGAGAATTAATTGAGCCCAGAAGTTTGAGGTTATAGTGAGCTTTGATTAAGCCACTGCACTCCAGCCTAGATGACAGAGCAAGACCTTGTCTCAAAATAAATAAATAAATAAGAAGAAACTTAGGTTAGTTAAGCTGATTCTAGGTTACATAGAAAGCTGCCATTCAATTTGGAGTTATACTTTCTAGCTATTTAAGGAATCTTTCAGGGCCCAGCCTGGCATTCTTCTTCTGCACTTACTCTACAGCACATAGCTGGGTACAAGGGCCTGGGGACACTCATGCGTGAGTATCAATTGATAGTAGACATTCTTGACAAAAAGGAGAGAATCTAACTCTAGTCACTCTCCATCTCCCAGAGACCCAGAAATCCTGGCTCCTGACATCCCATCTTCAGGTATCTCTCTTTTTGCCTTTCTCTAGGACTATAGTGTCCTTTGGGTCACCAAAGTCAGAGCTCAACTGGTTACTGTTTGCAGAGGTCAGGGGAGGGGTGTCACAGGCAGGCTCAGAGGAAGTCATTTGGGCTGGAAACTGGAGTCTGGAAGAACACTTGTTTTTAAGCCAGAAAACAAGAATAATAAGCATAATAGCTACCTTTTATTGAGCACCTACTTTGTGCCAGGCACTTTACATACACCTGTGCTTATAATTCTCACAACCTGGGAGGTAGGCATTATTAACACCATCTTACATATGAGGAAACTGAGGCTTATTGAGGCTAAGCAGCTTGTTCAAGGTCACTCAACTGGTAGACCAAGTGATAGAATTAGCACTCCTAGCACACTGACATGCGCATCTGTGAGGGTTCCAAAGTTTTCATCAGGCATTTTCCACACTGAGAAAATAAAGCAGGTAGAGAAGTAGGAAAAGGGATGTATTCTCTAGGGGGTGGGAAACTGGTTCTGCTGGCAGAGCTGTTGAAGGAGGCTGATTCCCACCTTGTCTCCACCTCCCACCTTTGACAAGCCACTCTTCTCCAGACTGAACTACAAAATCAGGAAAAACTCACTCTGGTTGAGGTTGCTCTTCTTAGGAAGTGAAAATGGCTGAGACAAAGGGCTTTACCCTGTCTGTGTATTGGCAGGTGTTGGTGTGTGTATGTGTGTGTAGCTTGTGTTTGGAAGCACACACCACCAGAATAGGAACATCACTCCCTTCTAGGCCACACCCTGCCACACGTGCAGGGAATAAGGCAATTGGGGAATCTGGAAACAGCTATTTATTTCTCAGCAGAGTCCTAGGGAAACCACATAGGAGAGACCCGCTCAACAATCAGAGCCTCAAATTTGCTCCATGGCCTCTCCTTCCAGGTTTATGCAGCCTCAGGGATGCTGTGTTCATTCTATAGACCAGAGACCCATGGTATATGTGTCTATGTCTCCCCCCTCCACACACACACGAAGGGTTCTTGAGCTAAGGCACCAAGTCTGGCCTGCATGACCCTGCAAGTCTGTACTCAACAGGCACAATTAGCCAGGGGCTGAGCCCATGTATGTACACAGATGGGTTAATGTGACGTTAGGAGTCTCTTCACAAACAGGGGAACACTGACGATGGCTCTGTACTGCATGTCCTCCTGTTCCTTTGGAGGCGCTGATTGTCTAATCAGTTGGCCAAACACCTCTATCCCTTCTCCTTAGCTGCAGTGGGGACCAAATCAGCCACAGTTCAAGCCAGTGCTGGAAACTCAGGGCCTGATTTCCAATACTAAGTATGTATACTTTTAAGTGTGGTGGGGGCTATTTAGGGACCTTAAAGGAGATCAAGTCGTCACCTCTGAAGGACAAAAATGGTATAAGGGCCAAGATGGAGGAAGAGGTTTCACTTTGTGCTTTACAAACCCAATCATGTGTAACAACAGGAAGAGAGCTGACCTTTTCCCTCTGAGCTCTCCTTAGGCCTCCATTCCAGGGAAAAAGTTTGTCCAGACTAGAGTGAGTGAGGAGGGAAAAGGGCATAGAATTGATTGTGTGTTGGAGCTGGAGGTTGCTCTAGTGTTCCCTCCCCAGTCCTCCCTCACAGCAGCTGGGTTAAGCACATTTAAGTCAGTACCCACTAAATGGGTGGTACAGAGGCTTAGACTTCCTGGGGTACACAATGCAGATGTGATGGAGCCCTAAAGGTCTGCATAAAGGCTGAGGTTAGGGCTATGCTGTTGCCAGGTACTGGGCAGGGTCAGGATGCCCAGACAAAATAGGCGACCTCGTCCAGGTCAACAGGATAATCCGTGAGCAGCACGGGCGTCTTGTCAAAAAGCTCACCCTTGTAGCTGCGCCACTTGCCGGCAGGCAGGTAGACGTCGCGCTCCTGCTTGCCAGGCTCCAGCACCGGCGCCACCAGCAGTGTGTCCCCGATAAGGAACTGCGAGTCGATGCGGTGAGCAGTTTCGTCGCCAGGTGCGATCCACCAAAGGGGGCGCACGATGGGGTCCCCTGTGTCTGTGACCTCACCTGCCAGCTCAAGCAATAACGGCGCAACAAGAGAGGCCCGCAGTGTGGCGAACTTGTGGGCAATGGCTACCACTTCTGCGTCGTATCGCCAGGGCGGGATAGAGAACTGCATGGCTGGCATGAAGGCGGCCACCTCCAGCCAGCGAATATAGAGCTCACGCTCGGGCACATTGCCACCGCCCGCTGTGCGCTCGGGCACCGCGTTTCCACCCACCATATCAGGTAGGATGAACGGGTAGCCCAGCATACTGACGGTGAGCACCGCAGGGATTAGCGATCGTAGTCCGAGGTCATAGCCCCACACCGAATCGCGATCCACCAGGCGGAAGAAGCATGAAATGTTCTGTGACTGGTAGCCTACACGGACCTCAGCCAGTGAGAAGAAGGGCAGCGCCATCTCAGTGTAGCGCCGGCTCCATACACTGGGGTCAGGCAGCGGCCTGTAGGTGCTGAAGTCCCGCGGAAGGTAGCTAACCTCACCTGCATCAAACTTGAAGGAGGCCACAGAATAGCGAGAGCGCAGCCGCCGCAAGTGTCCTTGGAACCAGTCACGGGCTTCTGGTCGCGTAAAGTCCAGCACTGCGCCGATTCCGTTCCACCAGCGCACCAGCGCGGGCAGGCGGCCAGTGGGTTCACGCACGAACAGCTCGCGCTCCACGCCCTCCCCGAAGCATGACGAGTTGTAGTTGACAAACGGGTGCACCCAGAGTGTGACACGGAAGCCAGCATCATGCAGGCGGCGGAACATGTCACTGGCGTTGGGGAACTTGACCTCATCGAAGTCGAAGTCGCCATAGGCGGGCGTGTACATGTCGTCGATTTCCAGGTGGCTGCTGTTGAATCGGTGCTGGCGGATCTGTTGGGCAAAATGCAGCACCTTGTCTTGGTCCACAGTGCGCCCATACAGAGCCCACGTGGACCAAATGGGGTCTCTGAAAGCCTCTGGCGCTGGCACTCTAGACGGCTTGTTGAAGTAGCGCCGAACCATGTACTTGTGGATAGAGGTGACATCGGAGCCTACGCACACACGGTAGCTCAGCTCCAGTGCGTCTGTGCGGTCAGCGGCCGATTTGTAGGGCGTGTTGTGGTAGCGCGCCTGCAGCCGCAGAGAACGCTCGGTGCTGTTCCACCCCAGGTGGAAGGGCACTGAGTCGTTGACTTTGATGGCAGCTGCGTGAGAAGACAGCCAGTAGCGCTCAAGGATGCCCCCGAACGAGGCGTTGGAGGAGTAGATGTCGCTGGTGACAAATGGCTGTGGCTCCTGCTGGCCATCTAGGTGGATGGGCCAGTGTTGCGTCCTCATCTCCGCACCACCATACCAGTGCGCTGCCGCGTCGCCCAGAAACATGGCGTGCTCCACGGAGTGCCCTGGCACCGCTTCCTCCCAGCGCACACGGTAGCACATGACTGTGTCCTTGGGCCGCACAGTCTGGATGAAGAAGTGCAGCGGGCGCCCGTCGGCCGTGCGCGAGCAGCCAAGCAGGGCGCCATCTCGGCTGCAAGAGTCGAGGTCCAACGCGCCAGAACGGAAGGCCAGGCGGAAGACCTGCTCTCCCTTCTGGTTACGGATGGAGAAGCCGCCGCGGTTGAGGTCCAGCAACTCTGCCCGAAGGCGTTCCGCCTTGCGTAGGGAGGCGCTGTAGTAGCACCAGGCCACGACTGCTGCCAGCACCAGCAGCAGCCCCAGCACCGCGGAGCCCAGCAGTGGTTTCAACTCTTTAGACGGCTTGGGTTTAGTGGGCGAGAAGTTATCCGGCAGGAACGTGTACATAGCTGCGACTGCGATGTCTTCAGGGCTCTTATGACCTGCGCGCCAACCAGGGCGGCAGCGGCGGCGGGGGTTGGCCTGGCTTTTCTCCTGAGGGTTCTGGGACATTAGTCCCCAGCTAAGAAAGAGGCTGGTGGGGCCACCTGACCAAGCTTATCTAAGCCCGGCCTGCCCAAGTCTAAAAGGGGAGAGAGAAATGGAACTAAGCTTTCTCAATCCATATTATTCCCATTTGCTTCAGCAAGATAGGTGTATAATACTTTGGAAAGGTGTATACTGGAACTTAAGGGCCTGATGAGAGAAAGATGAGACTCTTAAAAGGACAGTCTGCATCTTATTCACCCCTCCTCTTGGGCCCTAATGCTTGCCAAAATTAAGACTATGGAGAAGGGCATGTGAATGGGAGATGGTGTGGTATCCTTATTTTCCTGGTGGAGAAACAAGCACAGAGAGTGTCAGGAAGCTGTCTAGGATCACAGAATAAGTCAGGCCTCCCTGCATCACAAGTGGGGGCAGTTCAAGCTGAAGAAAAGGGGAGGAATCTAGAGAGGGACTGGTCTCCTAGAGCTATGGATGGGCACAGAGAGAGGGTCCAGCCAGCCCCTTGAGAGTTTTAACAAGGGGAGTAGGGTAGCTTTCCTGTATCCAGAGAGGGAGAGGGAAGAAGGAAAAGGAAGAGGGAATAGCTCACATATGGAATTTTATCTCAAAACCAGATTAAATCTGGATATTAAAGAAGACACCAAAAACTAGACTGTGTCCTAGAGTTCAGGCAGGTTGAGCTCAGACTTTAGGGCTAGAGTTAGGAGCCCAACACGGGGTCTGGTCACTTCTCTGATCTGCCTTTCCTTGCCAGCTTACTCTCTGCCATCCATCACCAAGTTCATAGTCTAACTAACCTTCTTTTTCTGTTCCCAGCACCACATCTGGGCCAGCTACCTTCTAGCTTCTGTCTCTTAGCACTTGCCCACTTTCCTGCTGCCCTTGTCCTAGTTTGGGCACTGTCATGGCCTCTCAGTATTACTGCAACACTTCCCTCAATAGATCTTCTAGCCCCATGCCTTCTACTCACAGCAACCATAGTGATCTTTCTAAAGCACTTATTAAACCATGTCTATCCCTGCCTTTAAGAGTTGCTCATGACTCCCATGATGAAATTCAGAAGTGCAAGCTTTGCAGTCAAGGCTCAAGACATGATGTGGTCTCAGCTACCATTCTGATTCTATTTCTAGCCAATCCTGTCCTGTGACTATCAAGCTCATTTCTTCCCCAGCCAAAATCCTTCAGGTCACTTGCTTCAGGAGAATTTGCCTACCCAACTTGGGCCAGCACCCCTCTCCTCCCACATCAGCTCTCTAGAGATGAGATACCCACTACTACACACATAAACTCTCACACACTGTACTAAAAATCCAGATATGACTGCAGGGAAACATAGGCTCAGGGGAAGATTTATGTCTCAATCCACTGCTCAAGGCCACTGACCCTTCCTGTCCCAGCTTTCAGGGCAGAGTCCAACAAAGAAATAGCATGAGCCAGGTGCACACACAGGCATATACACTGCCAGCCAGCCAGCTGCCTAACTACTCTATCTTGGGGGTGGGGTGAGGAGAAGAGAGGGAGACCAGCAAACAGTAATTAGTCTCCTCCTAGATGTCAGTGTCTGTCTTTAAATCCCCAGTGACTTCTGAGGGGATGCTGGAACTACTTAGGTTCTTCACATCCCCCATGCAGAGACTATCAAATCATAAAGTTTGATCCTAGATGTCAATATATAGCACCCCCAACCATAGCCACTCCCCTTAGGTGTTAGCTCAGCGCCTTGTTCTCAGAGCTCCCTCCCCCAACTGCCTAAGCATGTCAGTTTCAGCTGTTGTACAGCAGACTCTGATTCTCTTCTTCTTAGCTTTCTTCGCCCTTCCTGTAGGTACAAATTAGAAAAACTATCTGGAAAATGCATGCAGTGGCCTTTATCTAATGACCTCAAGCTGAGCAGAACCCAAAGAAGACCTTTAGTAGCTCAGAACAAACTTGCTGTACATTTATTCAGGACAACCAGGGCCCCATTCTGAGCACCAAAGGAAAAAGGGGATAGGGTCCATCTCTCAATAGGACCCTCTTGTCCTTGAAACTTTCATTATGTCAGCCGATCTTATGATGGGCAGCATGAAGAAACTACCAAAGTGGATTAAAAATCCCTTTCCAACACTTAAGTGTAAGAATCTTAATTTTCTGGGATTTTGAGGTTCTTTAATGAAGGACAGGAGCCCACAGGCCTGGGGACCAATTCTGTTCAAGAACCATTATGGTCTCCCAAGTGCCACTACAGCATGAAACTTGAACAACAATATGGAGCAGCAAACACAGTGCCCATTTAACAGGTGAGAAAACAGTGGCCCAACAAAACGGACTTGCCTTTAAGTCAGCCAGGCAGCAAGAGCAAGATTGCCTGGTTCTAAAATCCTAGCTTAACCCTCCACAGCAAAAGTTTAGGGAGATGGGAGATAATGGTCTGACCTGGCTGGCTCAATGCAGCAGAGGAAAGAAGCTGTGGGGCGGAGAGGCTTCTATCAGATAGATGTGGGTGTGGCCAAGCCTGTCTTTGCCGGGACTGCTGCTGCTGCTGCTTGCTCTAAGCAGACCAGGAAGGCCTCTTAGGGGGTGAGAAAGGGGGTAATTTTAATGGCATATGGTCCTGGAGTTGTGGGGGAGGAACTATGTGGTTCCAGTGATAACAGTGGGGCTAGAGACCCCTGTAATCTGTCTCTGCCTTCTGGCCAACCACAGGATAATGCTAGCAGGTGGGATCTGCGGGGCGTGCTTCCTTGGGCTCTGCCTCTGCCTCTGCAGAGCCTTTCCCCGCTCCACACTCAACCTCAGTCTTGGCTGCCAATCCCTAGTCTGGTTTGAGGGGGAGGGGGAAGGGGGAGGGCGGGGGAAAGGGGGGGAGGGCCCCGCCCAGCTCAACTGAGAGGAGGCCATTCCAAGCAGAGGCGTTAGTCGGACAAAATTCCCAGGGGATGGAAATGTCAAAGGTAACTCAATCCGGCCCATCTCCTTCCCTTGCCTGGCAACGGGATTTGTGGGGATCGAGTGACTTTGCCTACATAACTGGGAATACTCTACACCCACCATAAGCACTTCTTCCTTACAGCTACACGGTCCATTCCGAAGGGGCAGACTGAGGTCAGAGTACCTGTCTCCGGATGGGAACCGCGGCTGCAGAAAGGGCCCAGGTATAGAGGCTCGCTCCACCCACTCATCGGTGGAAGCGAAGTTCAGGAATCTTGCTCCGTCAGCAGTGCCCCACTCTCACGTCCTTTCGCTGGGCTCACTCATGGCAGTGACAACCGGGCAGAAATCGGGTGAAGGAGCCTCTGGCAGATCCCCTCCGCGTGAGCCGGAGTTGACCTGCCACTGCGCCGCGCGGGGCGCTGCCTAGCTGGGCGCTGCTGAGCCCCTCCTTGGGCCCCGCCCTCAGACTAGTTGGCCACGCCTCAGCCGTCCAGTCTTGTCTCTGGCCTCAGTCCAGCCCCGCCCCTGGCGCCCGACACCTCCTCCCATATTATCGCGCATACCTGAGGCTCCGCCCCTTGTCCTCTGACTGCTCTATGCCCTGACTGCCCTGGCATCTCAGGCTAGTCTTCAGCCCGGTGCCTTCTGGCTCCACTTTCCCCCTGAGGGCCCGCCTCTGCTAGGCTGTAGTTTACAAGAGGGCGGGGCTAGGCCCCAGGCCTGCTGGGAAATGTAGTTCTGAGGAAGAAACCGTTACCGAAAGTTGGGGTTCTTTCATCTCCAGGATAGGTTTGGGATGTGTTTGAGAGGGCGAAAGCTGCAGGATAAAGGAGCAAAGCTGATGTTTGGGATTGTTGGGCAGGTGGAGGCTGTATTGGTATAACGCTATCACGAGCCCTCAGTTTTCCCACAAGGAAAAGGAGTATTGGAATTGCAGGAGATTATCAGCGCCCAATACAGAGTGGTTCTAATTAAGCAACTCACGGAAAGAGCTTGTACTTCCAATCAGCCAAGCAGCCCACGCTGTTGGTCCCCAATGGACCAAACTAGCAATGCCCGAGGTCGGGGATGAGAAGACCGGTTTCTTCTCCGAGCAATGCCCTCCGTGCCCCACGTTATTAATAGGGTCCACCCTTTGAAATGGCCAGCCTACTGGAAAGTGGGAGTGCCCCATCATACCCTTTTCCCCAGGGTGTGGGTGGTTTGCAATATTGAGGTTTCTTATCTTTGAGAGAGAAGAAAAAATACTGAAGATCCTAGAGATTCTAAAATAATACACCCTTTGCTCCCTGAGGGGCAGAAGAACAGAGCTTTGTTTTGCAATTTGTAGTTTCTTGGTTACGAGATCCTCAAAAATTATGTTTTGGACTCATTGGACTTGGATGGGGAAGGGCAGCAAGGGTATCTGAGCACAAAGAGCCTTTTGGGGGGCTGTGATGGAGTTTCTGGGAGCAGAGATCAAGAGCTTTGGCTGTAGAAGGGAGGATTCTGGGTCCTCTGATATGTAGGAGGGAATATGTTTGAAGGTATATTGGGAAAATGATAGCTGGAGGATCTCTTTAGGGTGGGAATTAGGTTTTCCCTTCATTGCTGGGTGGACCCATTAGTTTGAGCTCTGAGATGAAGGAGAGAAGAACACTATCAGGATAAGTGGTATAGAGCTACTGTAATATGTCAGGAGGGCACTCAGGGAAGTTCTCAGATAATGAGGATGGGGAGGGTGACTTTGAGAAACTGCTTATCAGTTGAAGGGGGTTGGCAGAGGCCCAAGTGACTGACCCCTTACTTTGCGATCTTGCTGAGTGAGGACAAGGAGGCAGCTTTTAGGGGTGAAGAGTTTATTTATTGCCCCACCCCCTTGGCCCAGAAAGCCCGGGCTCTACAAGCCCAGGCTTTAATAGCAGTGGTAGTCAGGATAGGACTCAGACACAAACTCGGGATGGATCACATAGTTGTTTCTCAGGGGACTTCCGGACTTCTTGAAGTGACTTGTGTCCCATCTACAGGGAGAGATGGGTCAGCTCTCTTTTCATATCAAAGTGAACATCTGATTCCAATTAGCAATGCTAACTTTATCCCAACATTTTGCCACAGACACTGGCCCTGGGCTCCAGCACAGACCCGGCCTCAGGTTCTAGTGTAAATTTCTAATATCCTACACCCGCACTCTAACATTGACTTCTTATCCAGTACTTCCAAGTTCTGAACCTAATGGCCTTGTCTCTAAGCTCACTTTAAACCCATTGCCAACCTGTAACCCTACAATACCCTCCTACTTGCCCTTTCCTGGGGTCTCCATTTCCTTGCCAGTTTTGATTTCCCCATCGCACTAGCTCCCCCTGGTGGCTTCACCCCGTCTGTGCACAGTAGCGGACAGTTCTCACCCCAGTTAGTGCCCACTATCCAGCCAGCCCTGTGGCGCCCAGGGAACAAATTCTAAGGGCTTGTGCAAGAGAGTGTACGTGCACCAGACTTACCTAAGGTTCGGATATGGGTAGTATGATGGCGGGTGAGTTGTAACAGCACATAGTATTCCGGGTCGGTGCTCGTAGGGCAATACACCCCTGGAGGAGGAAGAGAGGGCAAGGAGGGGTTGGGCCTTTTGATCCTGACACTCATCCAGACCAAGCCTCCAGGCGGCATTTCGGGTGTCAGCCGTGGGGCTTGAACATTCTCTCCTTCCTTGTCCTTCAAGATCCTGCGGGAAGCTGCCCTGGAAGTCTCCCTTTCCAAAAGGCCTCGTTTCTACCGCCCAGGGAAGAATGATGGACTTTTGGGAGGAACGGGCTCCATTTGGTCATTGAGGATCTAGTGCCCCCGGATGCCTGCCATTTTTCTGCGTCACTATGGACAAGGCTAAATTTTTGAGGGTTGTAGAGGCTCAAACACTTCCTATCCCCCATGCCCTTGAGAGGGATAAGACTCAGTCTTGAACAATGAATCAGACTCTTGGCCTGGGGAGGAGTGGAGGATACTGGACCCTCCCTGCACAGCTCTCCAGATTGTCGGAGACATGAGAGTTCTCCCAGGCCCGGTGCGCCTTGTCTGCCGCTCGGTGCAGGACGAATGAATGCTGCTCTGCAGTCTGAGCGCCACCTGTGCACTTAAACCTCAGCTTCCACAGCAGTAACACGTGAGGGCGTCTACATCCAGGGGTGGCGCGGACTCCAAGGAAGCAAGCCAGCGCCGTTCTGGTGAAGCGGTCACCATTTTCTTGCCCACTTATTCCCCACCAATGACCTCACCCACTATTGAAGGTGTCCCGGGGCCCAGAAAAGAAGACATTTTTTGAGAGCACAAGAAACTCCACAGGATAGAACTTGCGTCTCTAGAGTCAAGTTGCAGGTTCTCGGTAGGGGGCAAGGTCAGCGGGAAAGGATGCGACTGATGCGGACTTTCTACCTCCAAAATCTTACCGCAGGACTTCTAAAGCTTATACAGGGGTCAGAATGACCTTGAGCTCGGTTCTGAAAGGATAGGGTTAGGGACTTGGAGTAACCTTATTGGTTCTCCCTCCTCCGTTGTTGGTTCAGGCCCTGAGGCCAGAGGGAGGACAGAGGGAGGGACACAGTAGGGCCTTGTAGGCCTGCAGATCCCGGCAGGGGCTGGCGGAGTTGGATTAGAAGTGGGGCCAGATGGAGCGCCCGCACCCACGTAGGGCAGGGACTCTGGGGCTGGAGCTTGGTTGCGGGCGCAGCCCGTCGGAAGCGGGCAGAGCCCTTCGAACCTTACAGTCGGCTGTTCTCGGCACAAAGGCCGCAGGCGGCGGTCCGTGCAGGGCGCTCCGGAGACGCAGTAGTCCATCCCGCGCAGACAGTAGTGGCGGCCGGAACAGGAGCTTTCGTAACCATGGAAGGGCAGGCGGCCGGGCAGCGGGTCCATGCACCCACATCTGGGGGTGATCTGAGGCAGCGGCTGGTTCCGTGACAGTGAGTTCAGCACATTCGCCACTACTTCACGCTCTGCGCCAGCGGGTCCCGAGCCCAGGAGACCCAAAGAATCACAGGGATAGGAAGAGATACGGTAACAGGGTGAGGCGGAGACAATAGAGACAGGGTTATATCCTCTCTAGGACCCTCGGTCTCCTCCTTGTCCCTTAGGTCCCCATCCAGCTGGCTTCCCCCTACCCTCTCTCTACCGGTTCCTCCCCACTTCCCCATCGCCCTTTACCATAAGCATTGAGCCGCTCCGGCTTGGGAGGGCACTCCAAGGGCATTCCTCGTACTGCTGTCTCCATCCCAGCCTCCTAGAAGTGGCACACAAGTGATCTCAAACTCTGACCCGGAAGAGTTGCTCCATTTGGGGGGGGGGGTCCTCGCAGAACACCCAGACCTACCTCCAGGCCCCGCCCCTCGCCAGCGCCCCCTACTCTCCATGGTTCTGAATGTTTGGGATTGTCGCCAAGCAACATTTACTCTGCCTACGGGGGCGGAGCGGAGGTCGGGTAGGGAGGGCTGTACTGGACTGAGCTTGGCTCCTGAGCCCTTGACAAACCTGCTTCAGAGTTTGCCTTTGATTTTACCCCTCTTTGTCTAGCTGCTTCTATTTAGCTGTGTCTACGTGTCTCTCTAATAGGGAGTTTTCAGCTATTGCTTGCCCATCAGAATCATGCGAAGAACTTGTGAAATTTTGAAAAATTCTAATTCTTGAGGAAGTTCTAATTCAAACGGGTTTGGTCAAACTGACCGAGGTCAGCCTTCAGCCTGCAGTTAAGAACCCCTGTTCTCGGGCGGTGCCCGTGCTCAGTGGGTTGGGTGCCGGCCAAATACACCGAGGCTGGCGAGTTCGAACCCGGCACAGGGCAGCTAAACAATGACAACTGCAACAACAACAACAACAAAAATAGCCGGGCGTTGTGGCGGGTGCTTGTAGTCCCAGCTACTTGAGAGGCTGAGGCAAGAGAATCGCTTAAGCCCAAGAGTTGGAGGTTGTTGTGAGCTGTGATGACACAGCACTCTACCCAGGGCGGCAGCTTGAAACTCGGTCTCAAGAAAAAAAAGAACCCCTGTTCCGGCCTTGGATCCTCACGTCCGCTCTCGCCTGGAATCAGCCGGCTCTCGCCTGTCTCCTTGGAAGCAGGCTTCTGTATCTGCACTGCTGTTGAGTAGCCTTGCTCTGCCCCCGCCCCCACTGGCTCACATCATAAAGGTGGGAAAGGTGGATCAGGGGCACTCAATTATCACTGACTCCTTGGCTGGTCCCAGTGTCATAGGGGCCAGACCACATGGGGAGGGACCAGTTGGTAAGCTTCAGGAAGGCAGCATGCCAAGGATTGATTGCATGCAAGACATGTCCCCACAGAGATTGGGACCCAGGAGACCTAGTCCCCAGAGACTGAGAGCCAGGGGCCCAGTACTACTACATCACTCCTGGGCTCCCTTTTCAGCTGAGAAATACACATCCTAGTTTCAGAGATGGGAAGAGCCCTGGAACATTGTTGGTGG